TCCCTAGTTTTCGAGAAAATCGAATTTGTATATCTCAGAATTTCGGAAAAGTCCCTAGTTTTCGAGAAAATCGAAATTTTAGTTTTTCGTAGTTCCGCTGCTCGCCGCTAGATGGCGCCACCTGTACCGTTTTGAGCCGAATTCGACAAAAATTGATTTTCTGGCTTTATTAGGCATCAAAACGCATCAAACCCTAATAGAAATTTGTTTCTAAATGCCTCAGGAACCATACTACGTCGCCAAAGTGTCGAAATATTAATTTTTTTATTTTCCTTATATGCGTGTTCGGACCCTCATTTTTACGTTTAGTTCACCCGTTTCGCCGCTAGATGGACGCCAATTTTTAGTCCATGAACTATACTATTTGTATCTGTATACGTGCTCTAAAAGTTTGACATTTGGTATAGATAACGTGTATTGTCGTAATTGGAGTTATTTCTTCCGTTTATTTTCGAACAAATGAATATTTATATCGACAATGACAACTACTAAAGATTCAGCGAAAGAAGATGTACAAACAGAACCAGTTCTTTTTACGGAAGATCATAGTTCACGATGTGAATCTCCGAAACGTGGAACTACTCTTTCGACGAGCACAAGCAGCTTTGAGGCATTAGATCCTCATGATCCAAACCTTAGTCGATTAGCGAATACTATGTTTCAAAAGACTGGTGAATATTTGCAAGAAGAACTTACAGCTACTCATGCAGATTATCGTTTATTGGAACGATTAAACAAAGAAACCATTGCAAAATATACTGAGCTGAAAACCATATCATCAGGTGTATCTCAATCTTTAGATTCGTTAAATGAAAAATATAAAAAACTGCAACCTATTTTGGACAATATTAATGAAATTGATGATAGCGTAACTAAATTAGAGCAAGCTGCATATAAATTAGCGGCATATTCTAAACGACTGGAAGCAAAGTTTAAAGATATCGAGAGAGATGGAAAGAACAAGTGAAACTGTGATATGTAACATAACATAAATGAAGTAAAAATGTAAAAAGCAGTAAATTAACCAAAATATTTATGCTACAAATGGATTTATTTATCTGTAGAATATAATTTAATAATTATTTGTATATAAAGTAAAACCATAAAAATTATGTTTAACACAGAAAGAGAAACAACGGCTATTAACTTGCATTCTTATAATTAGCTATATTAGAAAAGTTTACATGTACATGTTTTTTATAAAGGTTTTGTAAAAGATTGATGCATTTCTTCTTACATTAACTCACAATACATCACAAATTTTGTAATTAGTCTACTTCTTAAGTGTACTGTATTCTACTTATAAACTTATTTTGTATCCTGAAACTTTGTTACCACTTAATTTCCTAGAAAATAATGTACAGTAATTTATGGTATGAACATAAACCAAAAATAAATATTCTTATATGTAATAAAAATTCAAATAACAATGTATCAATATATAATGTTATTAAAAACGAAAATTTCTGGTATATGTTGCTGTTTAAACTCTTCATTAATTATATACGATATAAATCCTTTGCAATCGTAAAACAGATTAAAATAGTCGTGAATATGTGTTTAACATTATATTGATATTTTAGCTTTTGATATAAATTTTTTTTTTAATGTAACAATTTGTTATGCTAGTAAAATATATAATAAATGTAATCAAGTATAATCTAATATAGGAGGTTTTGAGTTGCTTAATAATCGAAAATATTATAATATTTGTTAAATATCTTGTATAAATTATGAAATTTTACAATTTATGGGTGCACATTTGACAATCTGTTGTCGAAATCACAGCTATCCCACGTTAAACGTTTATATACTATAAATGTAAGTAAAATACAAAATAGCAATATCCACTGAAAAAATTTGTTAACACCAATTAAATTTTGGAAAAAAAAAATATAACAAAATGTTGTATTACATCCCAGAATTAAATTCGATAATTGCTGATAATTATTGATGCTATTTAATGTATTTAGCAATCTAAGAAATTTCCAGCCATAAATAATTCCAATGCAATTTCAAGCTCTATAGGAAATTCTGGTATTTCTGTACTGCTATTTGTGTAACGTACTTTGTAAGTAAAGTACATGCAGACCTTCTGTAATACATGAGAGCTGCAAGCAAAAAGTATAAATAATTTCGTGTATTTATAAATATTTAAATTTTCTTGATAGAGAACATATGGAAAAACTTACGGTATTTCACGGAAAGTAACTTGATTAGCTTCATTTTCAGCAAACTGACCAGGACCACTTAACATGGCCTTTATTGTTCCACTAGTTAAGGCATGTTCTCGTTTAATAATAAATTCATGTCCATCGCTGCTAACCAGTTTTACATACATTGCATTTGGTCCTTCGCAACCTCCATATATAGGGCCACTTTCTTGCTAAAATTTGAATTTGTTATTTACACAATGTTAAAATGTTCATTTCCAGATATTGTATCTATAATTTCAAGTATCATACAACTAAATTAGTGTTAGTAACAAACTAAGAAGAGACAGGATATATAATAGAAGATTGTTAAACAGCAAAATTTTAATTTGCAGAAATAGGTACCGCATGCAGGTCAATAGATGAACTGCCTTCTTCTTCTGCTCTATCGACATTTTCTTCTTCATTGGGCTTGATCCAAAGAAAAATTAGCATTAATAAACAAATTGGTTACCATAATTTTCCTCTTTTCCAATTAAAAGAACTACTGATATTTCTGTCTTAATAGCAGCCCAATTTTATAATTACAGCATATACATTTCTTTTAAATACATATCACAAATTCCATTTATCATGCACAAATGAAACATGCATAATACTTGAATAGAATAATACCTTGTCAGCTTGGGAATTCACATCGTTTGACATGTTTGTTATATTGGATATTTATTCCTCTATAAAAAGAAAATAAATTATTGTTGCTACACAATTATCCATTAGTTATGTTACATAAAACTTAAAGTACATAATTCATTATTAATAATATCATGTTTTGTTTCCATATACTTGTGGACAAGGTCAGTTTTTCATTGTGTGAATAAAAGGTTATTTCACATATCAAGACGATATGTTACAATAAGTTTCATTATCAACACATGAACATTGTTGATACATATTTTTAATTGATTACAGTATGAAAAGTTTTATGGAAAATGAATATGAGAAAGAAATAACGGACAAACAAAAAAATATGATATTGTTATATCGATGAGTAGATTTGGTATTTAAAGTTATAACAGTTTGAACAATAAATATTTTATATTGCATTTGATATTGCATTGTATATAAAAATAAGGAAATTATTACATACCCCAGGGAAACAAAAAAAATTGAATAAACCAGAAAGTTTTTAATATTAGCACTGTTTTCTAATAAGCAGAACGAGTAGTCTTCATTTCATGAAAGAGTACTAGCGTTTTGCGCATTCCCACTGCGCTACAAGGCTCCTCCACTACTTATGTTACCCCTTCCCATGATTTACGTTCACTCCATTAGTTATATATACGATGGATAAAATATATAGTAGAAATTGATAATCAATGTAGGAAGCTAATATAAGTTATTTCATCAATATGCAAAGGAGTCATCTATTTGAGTATAATCTCTAATGGAATATAGAACTTAAATTTCATCCAGAAAGATGTATACTCCTATAATACAAACTTAGAACTTTGACACTGAAGGCGTTCTTTGTCAGATTTATGATCATTGCCTTGATAATACAACTTTTTAAAAGTAATAAAATTCGTTTACATGATCATATGATCTATTAAAAAGATGTTTAGAAATAGAAACATAATAATAACGAAACTATTCGATCACTAGATATATCGCATTTGGCACCTTTTAGATCGTACAGCGCATGTACGTTAGTTTTCAGTCCAAACCAATCATAGTCAACATGCGTTGAACGAACGAAAAGTCGTACTTCGAGATTCATTTTTTTCATGGAATAGAGAATGCTAATATGGTTACAAGTTGCGCATGATAGTTGAATAAATGTAATTGATGCGTCTTCAGTTTCATTTATATATGTATATAATGATTAAAAATAAAATGAAAATTAGACTATGAAATTTTGTAAAATGTTATAATATAAGACAACTGTTAAGTTTCAATCATGTTACTTTGTGTAGTTTTATTATGTTGCTGAAATTTAAATGAGTAAACCTGTAAATAAAGGTGCTCTAACCTGTTGCAGTTTTTAAATTTTGTATTTACAATGGAAACTGCAAATTCTGGGTGAATATTAAAAATATAATATATTAATAATTACAAATGTTTGATAATTTTAATTTTTGTAGATACTCGCGGACGATGGATGAAGTGCGAAATACTTTAGAATTGGCTACTATTAAAGAATCTGATTTGAAAAGTGTTACCCAAATCTTGTATTCTGCAGAAGACCATAATATTGATAAGCATATAAAGTTATTAGAGATTGATGATCATTTAATAGAAATGATTAACAAGGGAGATGTGTAAATATCCATTTAAATTTATTGTCATTTTCCTAATAATTTTTGTTATTTAATTACTTTTAATCATTATTATTTACATTTCAGTTTAACATTTCAGGGTAATGAAGAAGATTCTGTAGTACTGTGTACAAAAAATAGAACATATGATGTTAAAGAATCTGAAACATCTAATTCATGTTTATTAGTACCAAATGCAAGTATGTTCGAAAAAACAAAGTTGCATACAGGTGGTAGAATAATAAAAGATAATAATATTTTGGGAATATTTCATACCTATTTTGAGGTACAAATATTATGGACTAAATTAGTATTTCTGAGCATGTAATCTTAAATAAATATGTGAACACTCTTAAGGTAAAGGAATGTAAACCTAAATTGGAGAAATTACTTGATTTGCTTGGGCCTACATCTTTTAAAGGAATGGAATATGAATCTTCTATACCTCAAGAACTTTTATATGATTGGTCTAGATTACAAAGTGAGATACAAGCCAGTGAAGAGGAACTAAGACAAGCCCTGAATGATTATTTAATAGTTAATATTGATGGTATATTACACTTTTAACACTTATAAATCAGTCATACAATTATGTAGCCAATATAGTTAAAAGACTAACAATATTATTTCTTATACACATTTTAAGGCTACTTTCGATTGATATCATTTGAATCTGAAGTAAGAAGTTTAACATTAATGTTAGATCTTTTTGATGAAAACAGTTGGGAGTTGGATGAGGTTGATAGAGAAATTACATATGACTATTTAAAAGAATTTATTCATAAATCAGTTTTTGATACTTTGTTTGCCAAATATACTGAAGTAAGTGACAAATTTAAAGAAGATGGATCATGTTTATACAGGTATATGAAATTATGTGAATGTATCTTATTAGAGTACATGTTATATAAGTATCTTTCATAGCAGAATGTAATCTTCCAGATATAATGAAGAGCATTGTTGCAAAAGTTTAGCTAAAGTTCTTCTTGCTGCTTCTTCAATAACTGACTATACACAGTTTATGGAGTCATGGAACATTGGAACACCAGAAAGTAAGTTGTAATATGCAAGAAAACGGTTTATGAGTTATATTTTCTGTTTCTATTGCACTTATCTTTAATGTAGAAATGAAACCAAAAGATGAGTATTTACGTGGAATAGCCCTTATTATATGGAACAGTTTAACAATGAAAAAGGAAGTAATAGCTTTTCCAGAAACAGATTTGCCAAAAAATACGGATGAAAGATTTAATGCATTGTTTAAAGCAAAGGATAAATGGACAGTAGAAGAAATAACACCATACATATTGTAAGCAAAAATAGAATATTGTTCTCAGTATGCTCCTTCTTCATTATCATAAAAGTGTTTTTGTTTTAGATGTTTAGCAACAAGCAAAATAAATGTCAATGCTCTTTTAACTAAATATGCCAGATCTTCGGTCATTAATGGCATTAAATATTACAGTTCAAAACACGGTAAATGAATAAAATTGTTAATGGTGTTGAAATCATTCTCGCTGTTTATTTTGCTTCAGGTCGTAATACATAGTTACATTTACACCGTTCTATAAATAGTTTTTAAATATCATTACACATTGTTTATTTTTATTATCCATCATCTAATTAATAACAATAACACGGTTGATCATGGTGGACTGCCTTTATTTCAGTAGTTTCTATTTTCTGAAAAACTGCAATTATATTTCAAAGGACAATTAGTTATAGCAACAATAATAAATAGCTCGTATGTTCATTCTTCCATTACTGGTTGCAAAATCTTATACAATATGACAGTAGCCAAACAATTTAATCATTGAATAATTAACAATAAAAAATTGAATATAAATTTAGTTGCAAAATTACTATGACATAAAAGTTATAAGTTTACTCTGAAAATTTTGTAGCGTTTTTATCAAATATTATATTTGTTAGGATGTACTTTCAAGAATTATATGTAATAGAAAAAAATTGAAAAAATAAAAATATTTTTTATAATAAATGATATAATGTCGAGACTGTATAAATGTTAGTACATTATAAAATTGAAAATAAAAAATTTGTCGAACATTTTAATGCAATTTAAAGGATAACATTTAAAAGATAACATTTGCTAAAAAGTAACATTTACATAATTATCAACATCACTATTAAATGATATAAATTTTAAATATTTATTTACATACGCTAAATGTAATCGAAGAGAAAAGTGTTTTACGGTTTCGATGCAATAGCAGTGTCAAATGTTGTAAATGCGAGTTACAAAGTCCCGGGATGACAGTTCATCACTATATATTCTCAATGCATTTATAAAAAAATGTATTTGTGGTATACAAGTATGTCTTGGCACGTTACCATGAAACTGCAAATGTCTGTAACATAATGGACAATGCAAAAACCTTCTTAACGGATGTAAAGGATCATTTCAATAACTTGGATCTTAATTTTATACGAAATAAAATTTGTCGAAGAACATAAAATGTAACAAATCGTATAAAAAAGGAATACTTTACGTCTATGGAATATTTAATAGATTTGTAAATGCACTAGTTTTATGAGCGCATCGCATTGGCAAATTTACCAGTGGTATTTTTATGCAAAGATGAAATTTTTTATAAATATTTTATAGGAACTGACTTGCCATTGAAGAATGATTCGTTTCTTTATAAAACAGTCTGTATAAATTTCACAAATTGGTATGAATTGCTAAATAATTAGCTAATAGAAATAACATTCAGTCCCGTTTTTTACATTGCAATCACTCCTCATAGCAGGAAATAGACTATTAAATTACGAATTTGTAAAAACAATATTACCGTAAGATTATGTCTTACACGAAATTAAATTTTTGGGGAATAATTTTAACCGTTTTTAAATATACATTTATAAATATAATATATATATGTATAGAGAGAGAAAGAGAATTATTCAACTACCTATAGGGTGATGCAAGAAGACAATCTCTATAGTAATGGGTCGTATACGTCATGGCCTTGTAATTATGACTTCTGCGTAATTATTTTTAAATAATATTTAAGCATGCGCGAGGAAATAAAAATGTATCATTTTACGATTATTAGGTTTGTACGAATGAGAATTGTATACAGCTCTTTATGCTTGAGGGTGCCTTTTGCGTCACCCCATGTACAGCTTCGTTATACAATAACAAATTAACAATAGTTCTAAAGCTTTGGAGTGATTTCTTCGTAGTTATAACTTACACCTCTTAACAATAATCTATCACTACATCTAATGAATACTGTCTTATCTATAAGTACGTTTAGACAAAGTCTATTAAATGTTAAAAAGAGCTATAAAGCGCAAATACTAAATCTCTTGTTGCTGAGTTATGCGCGAGACGTAGATGGGTAACTTGCACGACGTTATCTATGTATATACAAATATTTTTCCGAAGTTTTCCTAAAATAAACGTAAGAAATGAAAAAAGAAGGTTCAGGTACTTTTGTCATAATAAATGAAATAATCATACCTTAATGCAAGGCACCTCGTTGTTAGCTATCAGTTGTCGCACTTTCATTTGTTGTTTTGTTATTAGATGCAAACACTGACTGTTGATTAACACCTGTTGTCACTGTCTGACTCGGATGAACCGTTTGGACTAAATTACAAGTAACTGGTACCATTGGTGGCAAATTAACCGAATTATTCATAGGACTGATATTACACGACAAAGATGGTCGTTTTCTTTCTAAACTATTAGTCGTCATTTGTCTTCTGGTCGTTGAATTGCGTTCGAGGCTGTTAGTAACAATATGATGTCTTCTTTCTAAACTAGAGCTGGAATTAACGTCACTTTGACTACCCTGAAACAAATATTTATTACGTTTAATTCTGTTAGAAATATTACCAATAATCAATTAATTGCATAAGATTCATTATGCAGGAAGGGCAGAATCACTCTGAGACTGGAGCCTTGATATTACTATCATAGAACATAATTTACCTGAAACGATCGATCGACGGACTGACCCATTTTATGTAAAAGTTCACCGCTTTGACTCTGCCTGAAGGTGGTACCCTGACGCTCGCTAGACTGACTTCTCCTTAGAAATTGTTCTCCAGATTGACTGGAACGAATACGACTTTCCTGTGTAGGTTCTTTTGGTGCGATATTGTTTTGCTTCTGACAAATTTGACTATCCACGTATGGGTAACGAATACGGATCGAATCAATTACATCTAACAGATTCTTTGCATCCATTGCTAAAATGTGTGCTGCTGACAACATTCCCCTGAAAACACACATGTTTTATTTCTAACATGTAACGCACGAAAATTCATTACTGTAGTACATTTACTGAAACATACTTCCGATATTCTACGTCCAAAGTAGTTGCACTATATTTTTGGGCTTGTTTCATAGCTGTTACAAGCTCTGCCATGTCTTTGCTAAGTACCTTATGAGCCATTTCTACTTCACGATGAGCAGATATAGGTAATATATCCATCAGTGCATCTACAGATGAAAGCAATGCTCTCAGTTCAATACCTACTTTACGTACTAACTCCAAGTATTGTTCTGCTTTGCTCTGCTGAACACCTAAATTAATCATTTTGTTAAAATTTTATTCAATAGTCTATAACAGCAATTGATTGTAAAACCTAGTACCTTGAGAAAGGGACATTACAGCCCGCACAACACTGGTAGTGCAATCATACACTTTGTCATTGGTTCTATCTAAATCTGCAGTAGGTGTTGGTTCCATTTTCTGTGAAACAAGAATACTTTGAAGTATTACTGATAATTTTGACTGTGCCTATCTAGTCATAAGCTGAACACATTACCTTTACAACGATTACTTTCTCGCTGCCTTTGTCAGAACCTAAAGAACCAGTATTAGCACTGTGTTGCTCGTGATTTGGTGACTGCGTCACTGAACGTGGAACTGGTGGACTGGCACTTTCGTCTCCACTCGTTGCAATGGATAAACGTTTCTGAATGTACAAATTGTATGTTACAAAGAAAAACAGCAATTATATAAATACAACAAATTGTAAAAAAAAAAAAACAAAATCTCACCTCTTCTCTAGCCAACCAACGACTGTCCTCTTCAGACTGACGTTGTTGTTCCAAAAGTCGCTGCTCTAGCAACTTTTGTTCATCATCCACGCCGCTGTTAAAGTTCTCCGTAGCGTTGTCGAATAGCTGCGATTGTACGGTTCTCTGAAATGGAACAACTCATTATTAAGTTGTACATATCTTCCTTTGCATATCTTATACACCAGATATTTAACACGACCGACTGTCACATTTACTATTTCTAATTACCGGTACTTCAAATTATCTCAATTTTGTCAATTGTCTGATTAAATTACGTTTGTTCTGCGAATCCTCGTGACAGTCAACGCGTTAACCCTTTGCAGGAGAGTATCTAATGATAAATAAAAATAATATTTGGAACTGATGTAACTAATTTTTTAAATGAAATGTGGCATACTTGCAGTACAAAGGGTTACTAAATATAATTATATATACATATTAAAATTAAAGAGATGCATAATTTTCGATGCAAAACCAATTTTAAATTATCAGTGCAATCATATTCATCGCATGCAGCTCAAAATTGTTATACAGTATCAATAATTATATTCATTCTTCATGCAATAAGGATTAGCCTACTAAACTGCAAAACAAAATGTCCAATTGTAATGAAAAAAATAAAAAAATAAAATATCTAGTCGTATAACGGCAAGAAGGGGCCATCGTGTCAACTTAAATGAGCATGTGAGCGCGTCTGCATATACCAAAAGCAGTATGCATGGTATTGTATATACATTCGATTCGCAATGAAAGTATATGGTGCTTTAAGAATATGATCGAGTCATAAATAAGAAAAAAAATATGCTGTTGCAGATAGAAGATGCGATTGTCATTCCTAGGAGGCTTTGCCAAACCTGATCTTGCTGAGCCTCCTCTGTCATCGAGCTGCTCGATGACATTGTGCTATCACTGACAGCGGATGATATCAGAGACCCGGACAGCGTACCATCGGTAGAGCTTGTCAATTGTTCGTCCTGTTTATGAGTTACGAACGTAGTAATTTTCGCTACGCCAGTCGCTATCTGAGGCGTACTGGATCTTACGATTCCTGGTTGCAGAGGCGGTTGCGCTAAATATTGCGTTACGTTTACTGCGCTGGTAGTCGGATTGGTAACGTTACATTGTGCCTGACCAAGCTGTTGCGTGACATTAATGGAACTCGCTTGCTGTCCGATAACGACGTTACTTTGATGAATGTATTGCTGGTTAGCCTGCTGAACCGTAGCTCCCGACGTGGAAGTGAAATGCACTTGGACAGGGTGATTTTGCGCCATATTATAGGACAATTGCTGATTCACGCCCGTTGCTTGCGAACTTTGCACATGACTCGCCATTCCAGGCTGCATTTGTTGCGCGTACACGGGACCCTGAACTTTCAGAGGTTGTACCAGCCCGACGGAGGTCGCATGGGCCGTATAAAGTTGGTTGGCGCCGCTCGATTGACTTTGCTGGCTGACGTGTTGCGCGGGGATGTAAGAAACTGCTTGATGAATGGTATTTTGGCGTTGAATGTTTTGCACGTGCTGCGGCAAGTACATTGGCTGCGATCCCAGGTGGCTGATGTTCGAGTATATTTGCTGATGTTGGTAGTTTTGAGCGTGCAATGGTTGGGTTTGCAGATTTTGCCCGGAAGTGGAAGTGTGCACCAAGTTGCCCCTTTGATTTGGCATGCACGATGCAGCAGACGCACCGAAGTCGGACACGTTTTGATGTTGGATGTTTTGCGCCCGGAATTTTAGGACAGGACCGTAAAGGCATTCCGCGGCTGACGTGGGTATGGCAGCATTGGTCGAGCTAACGATAGGCGCACGAGGATACACGCCAGCAGAACTTTGCGAACAGCTGACGTTCTGACTTATCGGTTGACCAACGTTAGAGGAGAATTGACCACAATTGCCGGACAGATTCTGAGTATTCGACCCTACGATATTTGTTAAGCTACTAGGCCCAAAGTTTCCGGGATTCTCGCCGAAGTTACCGCCCACGCTAGGACTTTGACTAAGGTTACCAACGATAGCGGAGCTCTGTGTGAAATTAGCGACTGGTCCGTATATTTCGCCGCAGCTAGCTGCGGTAGTTGTGACGGGGATAGAGCTAGACGTGGAGAACTTTTGCACGGGAGAGTAAAGATCTCCGGTAACGCTACCGACCACTTTCGAACTAACCGCGTATAAATTTTGCATCTCTTTAACCTTTTGTTGCTGCTTTCTGTTAGCAGCAGGTGATTGGGCTTGCGCCGTCTCTGATATACCGAGGCTAGACATGAGAGGAGTGTCCGAGGATTCGAGGGAGTCTAGATTCGTATCGGATAAGGTAGAGTCTCCTGAATGAGTGTCGTGGGAGGCGGAAGGTTCGGAGACAGCTGGATCGAAAAAAGGTAGATCTGAAACTAAGGCAGTGGTTAAGACTTGATCTTCGTCTTGGAACTGCACTGCTAAGGTATTAAAGGGCGATGCGGGAGTTGTGTACACGGAGGGACATACCCCCCTGCTTTGATTATCCTTGAGAAGTTGTGCAAGAACTTCAGGACTTTGAGCAACGATATACGTCGAAACTGGTGCTACGGCGGTTAGTTGAGACTGATCCGTCGCGTTTTGTGGTTGCCTCGAGGGTTTCGGCGGTGGTACATCGTCTGCGCCTAAACAGCAAGAAACTCATTTGTGTCGTGATTCATAAAATACCTCGAATACCTTCGGAGCAATATACATACCCCAAGACATGGCCTGTACTCTCCTGTTTTCTCGTCTCATCGTTTCTTGCTGCTGATGTTTTTCTTCTAGCAATATTTCACTGCAACATTGCGATGCAATATAAACGATGCAAAGAAATAATACAAGAAATAAATTGTATGCACTTACTGCAGAGTTTCTCTGATTTCTTTGAACGTCGGTCGTTTGCTGGGCTCGTAGCTCCAGCATTGAGACATCAAGGAATATAATCGTGGGGGGCAGTGATTTGGTAGCGCGAGTCGTTCGCCATTTTCAAGTTTGCGAATCACTTCGTTGTTTTTCACGCCTTGAAATGGCTTTACACCCAACATCAAGATTTCCCACATGCATACACCTTTAAACGAGTACAAAGAGAATGTATTAGATTTCCTTTACGATAATCGCAAACTTATATTGCATAGTTGTTAAAACTTACCAAACATCCAGACATCAGAAGACGTTGTAAATCTTCGAAAATTTATGCTTTCAGGCGCCATCCACTTTATAGGTAACTTACATTTACTCGCGGTGTAGTAGCTTTGATCCTCTACCCATCTACTAAGGCCAAAGTCGGCTAACTTTACGCAATTGTGCGCAGAAACTAGCACGTTTCTAGCAGCTATGTCTCTGTAAACAATTAATAACATTCAACGAAAAAGAATCATCAAACTTTCTTGACAAAATATAGTTTCTCCAGTTGCATACCTGTGGACGAATTTCTTGCTTTCGAGGTAAGATAGGGCAGTACTTAGTTGAAATGTATATAGTAGAAGCGTGGCGAGGTCCAGACGGTGTTTATTCGATTGCAAGTAAGCTCGCATCTCTCCTAACCTAGCTAATTCCATCACTAACCAAATTGGTGCTTCTGAGCATACTCCGATCAATCTTATAATATGAGGATGCTCGAACTGCTGCATTATATCTAGAAATATTCGATAGCACTATTAGATATGTTCGCAAAAATTTACATCTTATTGTACAAGTTAAACAGAGATTTTTTTACAAGCTTCTTCGAGGAACTTCTCCGATGTAGCGAGATCCGCGTCGACTTTGCAGGTTTTCACTGCTACTGCTATAGTTTGGTTATCCCTTCCTTTGTAAGACCCTTTATGTACATTACCGAATTGACCTTCTCCGATAATTTCACCCAGTTCCACTTGGTTCCTTACTATTTCATAATCTCTGGCTATAAAGTAAAGTAGAAATTTAAATACCAGTCGAAACTTTAATAGTTCTTTTATCTAGTCACTGTAGAACGGCGCACAGAACTCTTTAATTAAACTTACTAGCAGGAGTCGAGTAATCTCCTTCCTCGTCTACAATCTCTGCATAATCTTCCGACAAAATAGTTCCAGTTTTGCTCACATTTTTCTCTGGACTATTTGAGCCTCCATCTTGCCTATATTTTGGTGGATGAGCATCTGTTTTGAAAGAAGGTTTATAATCAGTAATTGCAAAATGCGATTGATGGGGATTCTCATGCAATATGATGTTAGACTAAACATTAAACTACGACAAAGGGATCGTTCAATGCTACAAACCTTTGCATGGACAGGGATAGTTTTTCCACGATGCAGCTTGGAAGTGTAAACGATTAGAACTTAGTATCGTTCGTTAACGCAAACGGGGGGTTCGTGCTATATATTCAGGTGTAAAATATGAATACGATTATGAAGATACGAGGGAACTAAACGTACAGTCACCGAATGAGCAATACAATGTAACTTTAATTTCTCAAATACTATGACAAATGTCAGTAGAAAGTTAAGGAACATGTCTGTCGCATGAACACCAAAACTGTTAGCTTTAAAACGGTAATGCTAAAAGGATAAGTACCGAGAAAAAGCAGAAAAAGATCGAAGTTTCAATAGTGAGAACATGCCAGTTTTCACGGCCGTTTGAAGATGTAGTTTAAACAATATAGCATACCTTTTCTATTCCATAACGAAGTATTACTTCCAGTAACTAGCCTACAGTATCCATCGATCAGATCTGCAAGGCTTTCTGCTTGGTCCAGGCTCGAACAGGTTATACTTAACGTTTCGGCTGTTCCAGCTACCCTCAATTTAATACAGGCTTTTGCGTGCTCCTTACAGTCCGATACGAGGGTCTGAATAGACTGTATTTGAGAAAACTCTGCCATCCTCGTTGGCTGCGTCAGATAAAATATTAACGATAATCGATAGCATAAGGCAAAGTATCAAATGTCTAGTGTTATGTAACAAGTGTGAACGAAACACTTACCACCGTTCCACCTCTGTGTGCCATATAAGATATTCCTAAATCTGGTCCAATGACTAGTTCTACAGGTATTGACCAGCTTGACTGAGAACAGAAACAGCAAAATGTTACATTTTTTCAACGCGTAATTCACTATTGTAACTGCTTGAAAATGAACATACCCCCAAAGCACATATAAATCTCTCTTGGTCGAATCTATAATGCGCCCGTAACAGGTCGAAGAATTTGAACATGCATTCTAGTTCAGACAACGCTGCCACCTTCTTGAAGTGCTGTTGTATCAATTTGCGTAGAGCCTTTGGTTTCATTCCGTTTAACACGGATCGGGGTAAAAACTTGTGCAGACCAACCTGCGAATTAAATTCAAAGTATACTTTCCACGTTCAAAAGAAACGTATAAACTTCATTCTTGTATTTACCTCTCTTTCTAGGTACTCGAGATTGCTCTTCTTGTCGAGTGCTATCTGGTGCATGTCTTTAAAGAAATATCGAATTTCAAGACAGCATAATTGAACCGCTACGTCTTGGTCTAAGGCCGAGTGGTTCGCGCATAAATAATCGTTTCGAACCTGAAATTAAATCAATTACAATCACTTATTGCAACAGATACTTGGTGAACTAGCCAAGTAATGCTACCTGATCATAGTAATAATAGAATGTCACTTTATCCTTTTCGTACAAATCGTTCAGGTTCTGTGGCAGGTATCGCACTCTTAACTCGTACCTCCACTCGCAATGGGGATGTTTCTTTTCGTACTTTTCCTGAACCTATTAAACATTAACATTATGGTGATCAGTAACGAACATCGTTACACCGCTTAATCATTTTTTCACGGGTCAAAATACCTGGTACATGGTAGTGTCTTGATGTAACCAGTAACTTTCCCCCGATCCAGGGTGATAGAGCCTCATAGCGTAGAGATGTCTGTAGTGTCGCGTGCCAACAGCTAATCGACTGGTTACCAAAGAGATGATACCCTTTACATCGATCGCGTCACCGAACTTAACCAGGTTGAAACCACCTGAAAGGAAGAGGTAGGTAATCTAAATGGTTAACTTAATTGTTAATGGGTATAAATAACAGGGTAATCATATCTCGTACACGGTAGATATTGAATAAGAAGAAAACATATTAGAGGCATACCGTTAGGAAGATGGACTTTCAAAGTCGCTTTATCCATGGGGGTGGGCGATCCATGGGGCGGCGTGTTTCTTCCGCCTCCGCTTCCCTGTACACCACCACCACCACCTCCACCTCCATCTCCCACGCCAGTGCTCATCCCCTCATGGCTACATGGAACAAAAAGTACGGAATAAAACATAAAAAAATCTCGGCTTAGTCGACGACCATGTTAACTATGCATTATCTGGTAAAACCTCGACCGTCGGTAGTTCACCGACGGAAAAGCGTTTGCTGGAAAGATTAATTTATTCATTAGTTCACGGAGGGAAGGATTATCGAAGTTCTCTTAAGAGAAATTTCGAGCTTCCAAAAAGCTAAATTTCCTTGTCAACGAAGAGGTTTTAAATTTTTTATTCTGGAAGGTGTTTAAATAAATGCGGGGCCCTGAAATTAAATTTAAATTTTCGCCAACTTATCTTAAACTGGTTAATTACGTATCAATAAATGATTCACTTTTTATCGCGTGTCCAAAGAAGAGGAACAGGAAGAAAAATCTGTTCGTCCGCATCGGATTCGTTCAAGGGATCAAGGTCCTCCTCGGAGTTGGACACCCTCGTGAATAAATTACACATTTCACAGAAATATTTCTTAATAGAGAACAAAGGAGATTGCGATTCTTCCGCGTGCAAATCGACGCGTCATCGCGCAATCATCGATTGTTTCATTCGAAACGATCGCTCCCAGGCGTTCTTCGTGCACTACGTCGATCGTTGCCCGGGTATTTTTAGATATTACAAAAGCATAATGCGATGATACGTTCACCGATCGCGGCTATGGGTTTCTGCAATTGCACCTCGAACTAACGACTTGGGTGTCTGACTTGTGTCTGACCGAGCCGAAACGTGACTGCTTTTTTATCAGACGGATCGTACAAGGTGCGGCTGAAATGATTGTACAACGTTGGGTGATTCCCGCTTTACAGATCATTCGAAAGTATCGAGCACAGATTTTTCGTACAAGGGGATGTTTTCCAAATAATTCAATTTGAACAGTCGCGAAAGGATTAAAATAGTAATAACTTGATTCATTTAACAGTTACTTTTATTACATCTTATCTGTATTAATATTTCATACAAGTATCACGGTGGGATCAGATTTAAAAATTGATCGAGGTCAGGTTCGGCTTAGATTCGAATTAAGTCAGATTAGCCATTGAATTATGTTGCATATGTTATCGCAGACTTTCCTGAGAAAATCTTACTCGTTTCAAATTGTACCTACCTACTTAGCACCGTGTGAGAGTTTTAGTTAGGTATATTACATTGGGTAGTTTAATCCGGTCTCGATTTTTATTAAACCGAAACATACTTCGTTTCCTGAAATCAGTTTCCTTGAAACTGACCTGATATAACTATTTATCGTATCAGCTGATAATCTTCGCTTATCACGAATTTCGACAATGAATCAGATATTTCCGCCGAGGAAATTTGACGTCGATGACGTCAAGCGATGACCTAATAAAATGCCTCGTTCGTTTGTCTTCGATTCGATCGTTAATAAATGCTGGACATTAAATTACTGTCACGCAGTGAACAATCGAGAACACTGAGCTCGCTTGGAGAAAAGAGGAGCACCAAATATTTTGAAAGCACCGCAACGAAACCTTTGACCAAATATAACCCGAATCTAACTCGGATTTAATCAAATTTAGAACCGACCAGACGCGAACTTGCAAGTATTTTGGGGCGAACGACCGAACCGACGAGACGGGGACTAGCATTCAGTTTTCATCGAGAGCATGTTTGCATCGCGGCTATTAATGCAAATGTGTATTATGAGCGTCGTCCAGCTAAGGAATGCCGTCGGTCAGGGACGAAACGCTTACATCGAGTGCCACGAGCTACTTCCATCGAAATACTGGAACAGATTACTTCGGATCGATCTGCTTCTATGTCTCCTAATACTCGAACAATCCTAAATAAACGCTTAACGTTGGAGACACAGCACCGAATTACCGAAAGCAGAACGATCGAAAAGAAGAAACGGAGAATATTAGTTAGTTGGACACGAATGATGGACGGAAGGTACGTTTGTTGGGTGGCAAACTGGCACCGATTTGTTTTTCGAGTAACGTATACCGATTCGCGGTACGACTCGTATTTGCGGACATCCGAGCCGACGATCCGTAAGCGATTATCGATGCAACGTGCACCATTACCAGCATAGCTTATCTACAGTAGACGTTCGTTATATCGCCACAGGCGAAACTGTAGGAACGAGGAATTTAGCGATACAATCCGTGGCCATATAATATGGGACCAGCGTATGGATCCATAGTATTCAATGAAGGATTTACGATCGTGCATCTTCGCGTTGCAATTGAACTTCCTGCGTGGGTAACCGAGTACTCGCTATTTACGTCTTCGCGGAAATGTCGCGAAGACATATTTTTTCGACGCTTTCGCGGCGATTTACGTCCGCGAACGTAACATTAGACATCGAAGGGTTAAAAGCTTAGGTGATCGAGCGAACAGACGGGGAGAGAGGGTCTCTCCGGCCCTGACCCAACGGCGTGAACAGAACTATACGCTACGCACCTGCAACTGTCGCCCACGCACTTTACCTTTCACTATTACTTTCTCTATTGCGCTCTTGCATCGTCGCGTCGCGTCACGGAGAGCGTAACGAGGCTCGCGAGCTTCAAACGCTCGTTACGAGTCGCGAAACTTGTAACAGGCGTGCTGGAAAAAACGCGAGCATAAATTCTACCCTTTAACCATTCCACTATCACGAACGCGTTATAACGATCTGTCTGTGCCGTTGACACGATTCCTTGCCACGTGGAATGTCGATTTTACGCTCGAGAATCTAATATGGCACGTCATGAGCAATAACTTTTGTGTTTTTTGTGGACAAAAAGGGAGGACGATTTGGGGTGAAATTTGGTCGTTAACCTAACGATTACCTCTTTCGAGACACCTTGTGGAACTTCCACGTGCCCAAGGTGTCCGGACTGTAGGACTCGTTGCACCCTAGCTGACCAAGAGAGCACAACAGCCCTCCGTTCTCCTTTCTCCATCGTTTCTCACGCGGACAACCTTTGTCTCGCCTGAGAAAGAGGATCCCTTTTGGATCCTTCGCGAACGTGTTCAAAGTTTGACCACGACAACTTGGCCACGAAATTCCATTTGCTTTGCGTTCCACCAGCTCCAACATTATCGGGGAACAGCTCGAACGAAGCTACGATAGAACACCGCAAGTTCGATTGATTACTTTAGCGAGTGATCTTCACGAGAAGACGTCCACGCTTCTGGGATCACGACCGAAAGAAAATCCCTTGATCGATCGATGGATCGATTTACGGATACATCGGTGAACTCTGCACGCTCGAGTCGTCTCGTCATAATCACCGTCTACTCGTCTGTCGATCATTTTTGCATCGAATGCCGTAACTCGATACGTCGTTCGATACGATCCTCGTGATGTGGAACCGTGTCGAAATGATAGAATTGGATCTCGTTCGATGCAATTCAATTACGCGCGGTTGTATATCCTCCTCGAGGAAACTATAAGATTTTAACTTTCTGGAGTTGCAATTCCAACTTTCGTTAGGTGGTCCTCGAAGCTTCAAGTTCTCTTCCATATGTTCTTATGGCTGGTATTAAGGTGGAGGGTGCTCCAAAGTTAAAATATCAAACTTTGTGGGTAGAAATGAAAGAATACGAAAAATTAATCGCTTTCGTGGATTCGGCACCTACGATATTCGGACAACTTTTGTTACTTTTTTAGGTGTTAGGGTCTCTCTCTATTTTCTCTGCTACCGTAGAATGTAATGAAAAAGTTGTACAACTTGTACTCGATACAATGCGACGAAATATCTAACGTTACATTTAACGATCGACGAAAAGAATAAACTGGAGGACTATCAACGTCGTTCGAGCAAGGCGCTTTCAGAGTTTTTCATCTTGGACAAGTTTGAAACGGCGTTTCAATTTCAGAATGGAACGACGAAAATTGAACGTTGGAAATGAAACTCGTCACGTCCTAGTTTTGCCGTCGAATCACTAGAGACGAGGATGCTCATCCTCGTAACTCGTCGACGGATGTAAATACGAAGTACGTATATATACGCGCGCGTGTTCGCGAGCTCGTCGTCGAACAGAAACTGATCAACGTTTCGAACGAACAACCTGACATTCTCTCGTTTCCTATCCTTTATTATCCTATTCGATCTTATCTTCTTTTTCAAGTGAGTCGTGCCGGTGTTTGGCAGCTCGTAATCGCGTGGGACGAGGCTGAAAAATCGCGTCATTGGCGCAATTCCTGTACGAACGGGTTGCTGGTGGGTGATTGGGTGTTCCATGTCGACGGACAGACTGCCTGGAGACGTCGATCGCGAGATTATTTATTAGAAGCACCGTGGTTAACCGTTTTGTCGCGAACTACGCGTACAATCGAGCGCAAAGATCGCTCTTCTTTGTTGCGGAAAAATGTAGAGGAAGCTATCGTTCATACTTTTGTTCGCGTCGATCTATTTTAGGACCGTTTCATATTTCAACGGTCCAACGACCGATGGCGCAAGAAACGATAATAAATTTAATATTTCAGATTGTTCGCGTTTCGTGGTAATAGAACGCACGGCCACTTTTATGGAACTTGAACGATTTTCATTATCGGTTACGACGTACTCTTCCTTTGAGCCTGCGAGGCTGCTGAGCCATATGGGACCTGGCTATACAGGAACCTTGTCTGGTCGAGTATACTCTGATGAACCCTTAAATTAATTGGCCTATCCCAGGTGAATCTCCGCGTTTAACGAACATGGTAACTTCGTCAGAACTGCCGAGATAAGGAAGCTAATTGCGGCAAGATTCTTCTTTATTGCTCCTGTATCGATAGCCGATTTGATTCGATAGAATAACTCAATTTTCGATGGAAACGACTTAACGCGATTAAGCTCGAGGTTACGGCGGATTCATTCCGTGACGAATTAATCTTCTGTCGAGAAGTCCAAGATAATCTTCGGAATACATGCACTGCAATAACCGAGGAAATGCTTCCTGCCTAACCACATCCTAACGATAAATGCGCGTTTCATCTTTAGAAATAATAACGCTTTAAATAATGTAAAACACGTAAAATTCTACTTTCAGAAATTTTTATAATTTGTCTCGATCGTGCAGTGGTTTCCGCCACGGTGAACGGTGTTAAATAAATAAGTAATCGGAAGGATTGGAAGTTATAAAATGTAACGAGATGACGGTAGCGAAGTGTACTTTAATAGCGCCAATTAGCAACGGTTAGCAAGACCAGAAGAGTACGAGGTCGATGATGGCAATTTCGCCATGGTTAGCCCGTTACCATCGCACCGGCGTAACAGCCACGAAAAAGAAGCTGTTCCGTCTCTGTTGGTCCAATGGCTCGCGGCGCTGCTTCTTCATTCACGAATTTCCAAGGAACTTTCAAAGGCCTTTATGCACGCAAATTGCCATTGGCTGCTCTTCAAACGAAGCCAACCTCCTTTGTTTAAACGCCTGTTCCGCGGTTCCGAGGATTCTAACAGCTGGATATCCAAGCGCTCCGAAGGAGACTGCTTGGAACCTCGACCTCTCTCTCTGGGTGCAAACTTTTCAAAAGCTCTCCCTGCATTATTATGGTGATTCGATTCAATTCGATTTCACGCCAGGGGGAAACGCGATTTCATCTTTGCTTGTACGATTTTTGCGGTTGAACGACGCACAGAATGTCTACTACGCTATTCGATGTCTTTACGTTATTAATTACCGAAACTCATGGCAATTTCGCGTCAAATGGCTTTCTATCGAAACTCGTACAACCTGATGATCTTTCATACACTTGAATACAGATTGTTTATAAATTTCAGAATTTTCACGATGGACGTTGCAAAGTTATTAATTGACAAATTGTAATTATTATAGCTGGATTAGGGGTTAGAATCGATTAAGGATGTAATATACTTACTCGGTGGTTTCGAGGTACTGGAAGACCCGGTAAACGGGACGTCGATACATGAAGAGATGATCTTCAACACGCTCCACCATCATCCTAAAACCACTTCATTCGAAACGGTGGGTCACTGATCATCACCCACCGCTAATCACTGTTCTCATCGGCACGAATCGCGGTAACGAACACTGTCCAAAGTGGTATCCCGGCGAGTAAATTCGCGAAAAGGAGAAGTTCGATCGCGGTTCCTTCGTTCTCGATTCAACTGAAAATTACTTTAAGCACACGGTCGGTACTGGCTGGTTTTACACAGGATTTTGATATGTCTTCCTCGTTCATCGACGATGCTCCTTCCTCTTCCGGTGCACTTGCTGCATTGCCACTTTCGAATCGATACCGTCGCCGGAAACACGCACCGCAGGTGCAACGGTAGATTTCTATCTGGTCTTCTTCGCAGCTCGCAAATTTCAACGATTACACCTGTCTCTTTCTATCTTAATCGGTCGTTACTTCCGTTGTTCGAGTATTCTGCGCAATCAATATCAATTTATAAACGATCATCCCATTCTCGAAAGATGATCGTCTTTGAGCAAATTATTTTATCCTCTTCCAGACTTCTCGTGCAAGCGAACGTGGCGTTACGAATAAAATCGATTAAATAACAACAAAGTTACTATGGCGAATAACAGCTGATAGACCTAACAGAAAGTCAGACTCGTTGGAGAAGTTTCCGGCAAACGATGGTTATCGGACACTCAGTTTGTCTTCTAGAGCGATTCACGAGGAACTCTCGTCGATAAGGATCTCGCGTGTTCTCGCACGCAGTTTGGAATAGACCTAACCTACCCCAATGGTAAGGGCACCGCCTAAGCCTAGCAATACACCGCAATGCTACTTCCGTTCGCGGTGGCCATCAACCCCTATAAACACGGAACTCCTGGCTCGAGGCGTCGCTTGCCAATTTCACAGAATGCTACTTGTATCCCAACTACGTCTCCAATTTCGATGTACGGAGTGTTGCTAGCTTTTCGAATAAGTATCTGTAAAATGAAGACTTCAAGCACGAAATCTCTGCAGCGGACTTTCCTTACATTGCCGTGAACGAGACAGTAGCGATAAATTCTTAGCTAGCTTACTATTTTTGCTTTGCAATGTGAAAGTGAAACGAAAACAATGCTTATAAAATTATTGCACTATTGCACTTTTTATGGAAAATTCTATTCGACCAAACTGTAAGTTTGTGAAACATTCGAAGGGACGAGATGAAATAATTTAAAAAATGTGCTTCGTCGGAAGCGACGAGATCATCGTCATCGAATCTTCGGTCTTCGCGAAGCGTAAAGATCAAATGACTACGAAAGTTCTAGTTCCAGTACGATACACAGTTGAATAATTTTGAAAAATATAGGCAGACACTTTTCTGGCTTCGAATGTATGTAACGAGACTGTTGACCCGAATAATCTCGAAATTTCTAGCTTCGACTTCGTGAAACCGCATTGAAAGCAACGAGACTGTGGTTATGGATCGAAACGAGTTCCAATATCTGTCGAATAAGAACGAAAAGGACGAATAGCCTCGAAAAATGTAGCGGATCGACAGAGAGACGGATGAATTTAATTCACGAAAAAGGATCGCACGACTCCCGTTAAGGTATGCAACCTATTTTAAGATGGACACCACCCACGTCTGTCTGCAGTCTCCGCAGAGTCGACCACCGCAGCGTTGTTCCCGTTGGTACGTTAATTAGCCTGAGAGTTGTGCAAACGTATCGTAACATGCTTTCTCGAATCGGTGAAAACCAGACGACCTTTCCTTGCGTAGATTCGCACGTACAACTAGAAGCGGTTAAACCGATCCTTCCCTACAAAGTCACGTACATGTACTTATGCGAAAATCAATCGATTAATTGCAAACGATATATGCAAACAACTTTTTAAGATGGAGGTAAAAATAAAATAAGTAACGATTACTTATTAATAAGCAATAAAAATAGCGTAACAGAGAAAAGAGAATGTACTTTCTATTTCGTTAATCGTTATTTTGCCAAGTGCTTAAATCGCGCAATTGAAGTTAAGCCAAAGGAAACGGGACGTGAACGCAGGAAATAAACGGCAACATATTTCAGCACGCACGACTGGTGATCGTTCATAAATATTCGTGAGCGGTGTTCGGGAAGAAATCGACGAGCCAAGAAGGAAACCGATCTTCTCGAGGGACGCTATAAAGTTACGTTCGCGTCGATTTCAGGAAGTCGATGTTCCCTCGAACGAGAAACAAGAGCGTTCCTAAAATTATACGATTCACGGGCCAGTGAACTTTCGAGGAACTTTAAGCCTCCCGACTTCGTTAGGGGCTTTGGGAACGATACGAGAAAATTCGCCGTCCCGACACTCGGGGTTAAACGACGGAAATGACGAAAAGTTTTTTCCGTCCGTTCGGACAATTTCGAAGGGAAGAAGAGCGCGTGCTCCATGCGAATTTCCAGGTGCGCTCGATTTTGCGAAACCCGCCGGTTCGTTGACCGAATCAAGGTCGTGCAACCTTGACACGCCGCTTCGAAATCTTCCTTCTCTGCTCGTCATCCGCCCGCTACTTTGTACTTCACCTTCCGAGGCTACTTCCTGCCTCGTACGTGCGATCCTCGCCAGATACAACGACTTTAATCGCAAACTTCGAGGTTTCTACCAAAAATTTTCTTACAATTTTTGCAAACTTCTTCGCGAAAAAAATTGTATTTATCTCCTACTATAAAGGGAAAAAGTATTTTTATACGAAATACAGAAAGTTCCAGAAGCAAGATCTGATTCTTTTTTCTAAGGATCTCGTGATATTCGGGATAAAGTTGGATACATAGAGCACGAACAGCTATCGCGAGATTTGAATGAACTCTATAGACGTTTACCTCTCAAAAAGATTTAGGATTTCTCTTTTGAACCATATCATGACCCAGTGCTGCTTGGTACATTGAACACGAACCTCCATCAGCAACTTCGGATAGCCAGCGAACGGGTTTCTTCTCTGATTTTACTATTCGCGTTTGATCCTCGAAAGGTTCCTATTTCGTGCGATACCACGATATCCTGTTGCTTTTGGATGCATCGAATGCGAACTTTCATTACGAACTTCGAAAAGCAGCCAAGAGGCTTCCCTCGTTTTATTTTTACTGCCTATGTCTCATCTCGAAGAAGATACTTTCGAGCTATACTGCGGTACCGAATAGCATTGGATATAACGAATACCAATTTCAATCGTGAAATTTTGATAGACCATGATGAAATTTATTGCCTGATTCTATCATTTATATTATATCTCTAAAGCTATATATTTGATGGATACACCGTGGCAAAGCTTATTCAATTTTATTACTCACCCCTCGGCCTTAAAACAGAGTACAATATCCTTCTTTTAAGTACACATCGGCTCATCGTATCAAATGTCTGCCTCCATTACGAAAAAAGAAGCTTCCCTATCAATCTTACTGCTAATACTTAAAAATCTTATTTCGAGCAATATCGTATATATCGAGTATGAAGCTCTATTGCAAGATTCAAGTAATCTCGGAAGAAACTTTATCAATTTTACCTTCCGTGTCACAACTCGTTACGACTGTCGAAAACCTTCTTCTCTTGACCGATTAAATTTCACATTAACGCACAAATCACACACTCGAAATTAAAAAAAAATTGTATTCACAGAATTGGAGGGAGGGCTAAACACCGTAGACGCGAAGTTCGAGCCGGTAAACGCGAGCACGCTCGAAAGTGACGCGGAACAAAGGTCGAGGTACAAAGGTCGATGTCGCGTCCCGTGGATTACCCCTGGTGTCGCAGGATCGTCGAGGTTCGGCGGATGACCTTGGATGTTGAAAAGATCGCGAAAGCCGAGCGGACGTTTCGAGGGCGACGCGCGAAAAAAGGAGTACGCCGCGAAATGCCCGAAGCGGAATCAAGGGTGGAAAACGAGCGCCTAGCAACAGCGTGTCGCGAGAACGACGCGCTTTCCTCGTCTCCTCGGTTGCGTCAGGTATACGTTTTGCCGGTTCAAGGGGAGCAGGCGCTTTGCTGGGTGCGGCAGGCTGCGCCGCGACGCCCGGCGTCCTTCCCCCGGCTCCAACCCCGTTCCAGAAGCAAGATCTGATTCTTTTTTCTAAGGATCTCGTGATATTCGGGATAAAGTTGGATACATAGAGCACGAACAGCTATCGCGAGATTTGAATGAACTCTATAGACGTTTACCTCTCAAAAAGATTTAGGATTTCTCTTTTGAACCATATCATGACCCAGTGCTGCTTGGTACATTGAACACGAACCTCCATCAGCAACTTCGGATAGCCAGCGAACGGGTTTCTTCTCTGATTTTACTATTCGCGTTTGATCCTCGAAAGGTTCCTATTTCGTGCGATACCACGATATCCTGTTGCTTTTGGATGCATCGAATGCGAACTTTCATTACGAACTTCGAAAAGCAGCCAAGAGGCTTCCCTCGTTTTATTTTTACTGCCTATGTCTCATCTCGAAGAAGATACTTTCGAGCTATACTGCGGTACCGAATAGCATTGGATATAACGAATACCAATTTCAATCGTGAAATTTTGATAGACCATGATGAAATTTATTGCCTGATTCTATCATTTATATTATATCTCTAAAGCTATATATTTGATGGATACACCGTGGCAAAGCTTATTCAATTTTATTACTCACCCCTCGGCCTTAAAACAGAGTACAATATCCTTCTTTTAAGTACACATCGGCTCATCGTATCAAATGTCTGCCTCCATTACGAAAAAAGAAGCTTCCCTATCAATCTTACTGCTAATACTTAAAAATCTTATTTCGAGCAATATCGTATATATCGAGTATGAAGCTCTATTGCAAGATTCAAGTAATCTCGGAAGAAACTTTATCAATTTTACCTTCCGTGTCACAACTCGTTACGACTGTCGAAAACCTTCTTCTCTTGACCGATTAAATTTCACATTAACGCACAAATCACACACTCGAAATTAAAAAAAAATTGTATTCACAGAATTGGAGGGAGGGCTAAACACCGTAGACGCGAAGTTCGAGCCGGTAAACGCGAGCACGCTCGAAAGTGACGCGGAACAAAGGTCGAGGTACAAAGGTCGATGTCGCGTCCCGTGGATTACCCCTGGTGTCGCAGGATCGTCGAGGTTCGGCGGATGACCTTGGATGTTGAAAAGATCGCGAAAGCCGAGCGGACGTTTCGAGGGCGACGCGCGAAAAAAGGAGTACGCCGCGAAATGCCCGAAGCGGAATCAAGGGTGGAAAACGAGCGCCTAGCAACAGCGTGTCGCGAGAACGACGCGCTTTCCTCGTCTCCTCGGTTGCGTCAGGTATACGTTTTGCCGGTTCAAGGGGAGCAGGCGCTTTGCTGGGTGCGGCAGGCTGCGCCGCGACGCCCGGCGTCCTTCCCCCGGCTCCAACCCCGACCCCGGTTAGACTCACCCCAGTCCAGCCTCTCTCCCTTCGTCCCTGTCTGTTGGACGCCCCAGGTTCGTCGGCCG